TAAAAATAACTCCAACTACACACCTTGTCTCCTTCTTCAGGTAAAGGCTAAAAACAGATTCTAAAAGCGAATCAGCGCTGGAAGTCATATCTATTTTGCTTATTTCGTTTACCTTATTTTCCTCTTTTTTTCTATCTTACATTATATTATGCTCAATTTCATTTAGTGTTGTCTTCTCATCACCTCCTGACGTGGCACATAAAGCTAGATTCTATTATCACTTAGCAAAGTTGTTTGTTTCATATCAAAGTGATTACATTACAAATAATGTTCATTTTCCCCAAGAATTTGGCACACTTTAAATTATACAACCAGAATTAGGTACCAGTTTACAATACCTCAGTGACCAGCTGTTTTGTTACATCCTCACTTTTTTTTCCTCTTTTTTTAATAGATGCTCATTATTAGCATTTCTTAAATATAAGCTCATTATCAACGAGCAAAATGATAAAATCATCTCTTCAATATTAGGCTCCGCAAACTAATCTGCTTAAAAAATAAAGACAAAAACTACACAAATGAGTATCTGTGCAATCTCTTGGGAAATTTAGACTTTATACATGTTAACCCTCCAAAAGATTAAATAACAATATTGATAATAAAAATAACAGAAATAGAAAGTAATAATAATGATTAATAATCAATAATCAAAATCAATGATCAAAACAATTAGAATAACTAAAATCAATAATTAAAACAAAACTAATAATTGAAACAATCAAATTTGATCATCAAAATTAAGATGTCTAAAATTAATAACACTAATACTATTAATAACAAATATACAATTAATGTTAATAATAATCATAATCAATAATAATCATTATAATGATAATAATAATAGTAATAACAATAATAATAGTAATAATAATGATAATAATATTATAATTGCAACAATTATAGCTATGATAAAAATAATGATCATAATAATAATAATAATATATAATGGTAATGATCACAATGATCATAATAATAATAATAATAATGATAACAGTAATATCAATAATGATGATAATAATGCTAATACTAATAATAATAATAATAAAAATAAAAACACTAACAAATCATAATAGTAATAAAAATAATAATAATAACTAATACTAATAATATAAGAGAGTAACCAGATTTGAACTAAACAAGCGCATTTGAATATGCTATAAATTTGCTCCTTTTTAGGATTCACCCTACACATGAACCAATATTCTACACAATTCCCAAGAAATCTAGTCTAACATAATATATAGAAACGAGACACAGAAGATAAATAACACCCAACTGAATCATTCTCACTAAAGTTTATATTGTAGTAGCCCTCTGTCATCAAATCTCCACTAATAACTACCACCATATACAACTTTGTGCCAGTGTGTTGCATTGGTCTGTAGTAGAGGCACTTGGAAACCCATTAGAGGGGGCTTAGTCAGCTTCTGTTTTTCTTTAAAGTTGGAAGTTTAATAAAAAAACAGAACCTTTGAATCTGCTTCTACAGTGTTATCCTGATGGTCACTGGGCACTTTGTCTTTGATCTAGAAAACTGCATTATAAGTGTGATGCTGAGGAGCACATTTCAACTGGCCCACAGAATTTTTGGACTCTGTGTTTAGATATAAGGTGTCTTCCATGTGGAATGACTTGTAAATTTAAGCTTGAGGTTTTGGACTCCTACAGATCAAAAACATTGATTTTGTACACCTCTCCTAATAGGTCTTCACACAGCTTTTACATACCTTAACCTCACATCTTTTAGATACAAGAATCTATTTCACTGTATAAAAATATGGAGCACGCTTTTATAAAAGGGTTGGTGCCTAAAAAAGTGGTAGTTTCCAATATGGCACATCATTTATATAAGTCATCTGCAACAATCCACAATTACCAATAGCGTGTAAATAACACTTACTTTTTTCATGTCTGACCACCTGTCATTTTAACTTCCTTATTTTTTAAAGCTGCTTTAACAAGACTAAGTGTTTTATTTGGGTTTCACCAAACCATAATGTAATTTTGTATCTATATCCCAAACTAAATATCATTCTCATCTCTGAAATACCTTGATACATATGCCCCAACATTCATATATGAAATAAAATAACTTTTACATGTCATTTACCTTACAAACTGGATAGTACCACTGGAATGACTGAAAGAACAGTCTTTGATTTAAGCCATAACTGACTGACTATAAGCAGTATTAATCATCTGTAACTTGGTCCTCCATCATCGCTAGGGAAGAAACATTGTTTTCATTACTCAAATCTTTGGGCTACCCTCTACCTAGGATCAGCCTCATTATGGCAATAGATAGCCTTCTTTATTACTGTCTTCTTTTGGCCTCTGAATCTCCTCACAAGGTACAGTTCTCAAGTGACGGCTTAAAAGTATCACAGGCTTTGGGATTAGCAGACAATGGGTCAAAACTGCTAATGCAAAAGACATTTCAAGAAGACAAAGAGACAGAAAAAGGGGGAGGAAAAACAAAAACAAAACAAAACAAATATGATATGTAAAAAGCCCTACCATTAGAGTAAGTAGAAGGTTATAAGAAATAAATAGTTTAAACTCTACATTACCCCCTCCCTCTTGTCCTTGGAAGATCAGTCTCCCAATTAGAATCACATACATATGTAGGAGCTATTCTGATGGATAAAAACAACAAGCAAATAATGAAGAGAAAAAAAATAACTACTGTTCCCTTTACTTATGGTGAATCACAATTTATTTTCCCTGCAAAAATCAGCACCGTGGCTCATTCAGATATCAGTCGGCCCATCGCATTCCAGTTGACTATACAAAGTGGATATACTTTACGAGTGATGTGAAAAAAAAAAAAAAAAAAAAAAAAAGAAATTTATTTCCCTAGCCATTGAATCTCAGGCCCTTAATTTTACAACTTTAGGGCTTTGCCAAAAATGCTAAACTTAATACAACCTTGGAACACACTGGCCAGGAGCCTAGGATGCTGATATTCACAAAAAAAAAGAAAAGAGAGAGAATGAGAGAGAGAGACAGAGAGACAGAGAAAAAATTATTATGTTTTTAAATCTCCTCCAAGTTCTAAGATATCTTCTGTCTTTGGTATGGCCATTTTCCACCGCAACTTATTGTCAGACCATCGGACTGAAATTACAGAAGCTTTGGGTTTGAATCATTGAGCGAGCCAGACCATAGTATGGCTCTTGATGGAAAACGATGAAAAAAATATAATAAATAAAAAAATAAAAAAAGAGAGGAAAAAAGAAAGATAGAAAATAACAGACATCATCATTATCTGTTCATGCTAAATAATGAGAAGAGTAATTGTACTTAAAATAGCAAAAGTAATTGTAACTATTATCATTTTCACCACCACCATCATGATAGTAATGATGATGAGGATGACAATGATAATGAATAATGATCGCAATAGTAAGAATATCAATGAAAACAATAATAATAATATTGCAAAGATAACAATGAAAGAAATACTAATATTAATGATCATAATGACAATGACAATATTATTATAAAAATAATAAGTTATAATAATTGTGATGATAATAATAATAATAATAATAATAATAATAATAATAATAATAATTACATTCATAATCATGATAGCAATAACAATAATGATTATGCTCATACAACTAATAATCATAACCTTGATCATAATAAAAACTGTTACTGAACTTCATAATCATCGCTATGATAATCATGATCACCAAATAACAATTATCATTACTATATTATCAACTCCAGACAGAAGCTATGATAAATTAATCTTAATTAAAATGATTCTCAACATCAACCATATCTAACCTATTGATAAAAAGGAATCTGTACAGCTGATTTCTTCTTTAAACGATCCCTTTATACAATATCTTTGTTTCCAGAGGCAATTACTGTAAAATCAAAGGGCATAAAGAGATTTTAAAATCATAAAGGAGATTAATAATGTAAACTTTTGATAAGGGGAAAAAAATAAGGGGGGGAAAAAAAAAAAGAAAATTTTTCTTTTTAGTTTTTTTTTTTTTCTATCTTTATCGAAGAGATGCAATGCAAAATATGACTTCCATTCTTCCACACCTTGCTTCCACAGTCGTACTTTTAAGATAGAATGCCCACTAACTTGAACTACAGATGCCTAAGAGATGCCGAGATCAATGTAGCACCTGAATATTCGGCAGTTTACACCTGAAATGTGTTTCAAACCTACTTTTCTTTACTTTTTTTTTTTAATCAGATTTGTTCACTAGGCAATTTGGCAAAACAGGACTTGAAGGGTTGCCTGCTCCTACCTCCTTAGCTTCACCCTTAAAAACAAATGGATACATGCTATCCATTGCTTGGAAATACACGTTTAACAAATCTGACGTAAAAGAAGCAATTGAAGTTTAGCGGCATTTAGAACATGGGTGTGCCGCCGGTCTCCGTGGGGGTGAGTAGGGTCACATGATTCGGTAGTGTAGTGTGAATCGTGACTGCGGTAATGCAAGGAGTGGAAGTGTTGATGTCAGAGGAACAGCGGGGGTGTTGGTGCGTGGCATGATGGCGGCACAAGTGGCAGTGCGAGGAGTGATGGTCTGAGAAGGGGGAGTGCGTGAGAAAACGCGAGGTGGGAGGGCCCCCATATGTGTGGTGGCCAGACCAGAGTGGAGGTGTTAGAAGTGTGCGGCAGCGACGGCGTCTGCTGACCTTCTTCTGCATTGAACCTCCCAAAGGTGCAAGTCGGTGAGACCCAACCTAGGCAAGGTAAAACGAGCATAACAGCTTTTGGTATTAAAGAAAAATCTGAAGAACTAATTTAGAACACCTTAAAAATATACATCTCCAACCTATCCACTATGAATGAATATAAAAACTGATTATTACCTGTATTAAAGGGGTACTTAATATCATGAGGTTTACAAATGTCAAATTTAGTGGCATTTCTGAATTATATCAGACAACCAAATTACTATTTTTCTTCCATTAGCCATACAGGGATAGACCCTACCGTTGATGGTGTGATCCCATTCGCCCAGATCTAAAAGACATCTGCGGTTCCTTCCAGATCCTCAAGGCCCTCAAGGCTGCCTAGGTGACGATCATCCAGACTGCTACCTCCCAAGTGCAAGGCAGACAGCGAGGAAGAGGCCAGAGCTACGTCCGGCACCATATCACTCAAGTGTCCTTCATCACCCTAAAGGAGAGAGAAAAAAGGGGGAAAAAAAAAAAAACCATTACTAATCACTATAAAAGAATAGTAATAGAAATATGGACTGTAAACATATACCATTCTTTTTCTTTACCATTCAATGTTAAGAACATACTCAAAGATATTGATCATTTGTTCTTATAAAACACATGGAAGACAAAAGCATGAATGAATTTTCAAGTCCTATACACTATGTCATTTTATGAACACACATATCAGTGAAACTCAATCACGATTTCAAATTTCAATATGAAATCAGCAACAATGCTAGAAGAGTTTCTAGTTCCTCTTATAATTACAACATATTATATATATATGATCATATATATATATATATATATATATATATATAATATATATAACGAGGAATAGATAGATAGATAGATAGATAGAAGAGAGATAGATAGAAGAGAGATAGATAGATAGATAGATAGATAGATAGAGATAGATAGATAGACATAGATAGACATAGATAGATAGATAGATATAGATAGAGATAGATAGACAGATAGATAGACAGAGATAGATAGAGATAGATAGAGATAGATAGAGAGATAGATAGATAGATAGATAGATAGAAGATAGATAGATAGATAGATAGATAAGATAGATAGATAGATAGATAGGATAGATATATATATATATATAATTATATACATATGAATAATAAGACTCAAACTGAAAAAAATTGGATTCATTTTTTCCACACCAGAGAATGTATCAAACTGGCAAGACAAAACCTTATATTTAGAGTTAGATTATGTATCCTACTCAGTGAATATATATAAAAAAATCAGATTCAGCTTTCCCTCTGGAGAAGAACGTAACTGAAGTAGGATGGTATAACAGCGACAGTCTTTAGGTTGGCATAAAACAAAAATGACATTTGTTTAATGTTTACCATACGCTTCCAGAGATAACTTTTCAAACTCACTTGCATAAGACGGAAGTGATGTGAAGGAGGCTCGAGAAGTGGATCCAAGAGGAATTCTGGAGGATGTAATTTGGACCTGCCCTCGTCCCTGACTGAACAACGCTTCTCCACTTCTTCCTCTTCCTCTTCAGTGTATGAAGCTCCCTGTCACAAATGAATTTTAGAGATCACACATGTTTTTAATGATGCTAAGAAATCAATGAAGCTAGACTAAAACAATCTTACAAAATGTTGCACAAATTTACAATTTTAGTTCTAATTGTTTTCATGATACATTGATTTTCCTAAATTAACTGAAAACTGACCTCTAACACATCCGCAACAGAATCTGGCAAGTTGAATTCCCTCACAACACGTAAGCGCACTTGTCGTCTGAGCATTCGTCGGTCACTAAAAAGGAGCGAGGCAGCTCGCTGATAGCCCGGGGTAGACACCAGCTCTCTCTCACGCCTTACCATTGATAGCACTGTAAATATGTAGATTCGATAAGCATACTTCCATAAATTAACTCTAAACACTAGTTTGAAGAGAAAGTGGAAGCAAATATCATTCTTCTTTCAACTTGTACTTATTTTAGCCTGTAGAAACTCAAAAGCCTAAAATCAATTTTAAGAATACCTCGGATACCTTACCAAAGTTTCTATCAAAGGCACACATACTTTAGGAAAAGGAAAATATGACATAACAAAGCATTTTCACCTGGTATGGCGGCTGCAACAACATCCACAGTGGTAGGTGGAGCATAGGTTGGTTGGTGAGGAGCATTGTCTTCAACCATGTAAAGCGCATCAGGGATGTGGGAGACGTAACACTGTAGTCGGACCACGTCCACACCACCAGCAGTCTGCTCATCTACCACAGACTAGAGGTGTGAAAAAATATAAAGGTTAAAATCTCTATCAATAATGAACTTCTTACAAAAATATTTAGTTACTATATCTGTAACTCTGAAAAAGTTTGTAGTGAGGGAAAGTGCAATCTATCCCTCCTATTTTAGACAAACATGAGTTTTGCAGTTGTAAGAAAAGGTAGGGATATTCTAGAATGCATTCCTATTTCTAATATATGAAACAAATGGGAAATGGGAGACGGGATCTTTTGATTTCTGCAACAATACTACAGATTAGCTAACATCTGGGTCCAGTCAATAACTAAAACTATAAAGCCTAAATATATAAAATAACAATAAACCAACAAACCTTTATTTCCTCAGCATATGGAGTAAAAAGCCTGGGTTTAACAAACAATCCATTGTTTTTACTTCGTATCCAAGCATTCACCCTGTAGTTTGTTGTATCATCTCCTATCATATGACTCGGTGGTGTGGACACCAAACCTCGTTTAATAGCCTGATGGAAAGAAAGAAAAATAATATACACAGTCAAAAAC